GAAAACTGAACAGGGGAAATCACAGACTGATCAGGTACAAAAAACAGAACTAAATACTAAAATAAAATGCAGAAAACATCTTAATGATCAAAAAGCGACTGAAAAACCGATCTCAAACAAAGAACCATCAAACAATCTGTACACCAATCCTTACAAATGCTGCCAGATGGGCCAGAGATCCCAGTCATTCATGGTTGACTTTCACCTGGTCCTTTGTGTACTTGAGATTCTAGAAATCTTTTGATGAACTTGTGAACTATGATGGGATATTCTTCTTACTGACACATTTCTTATTCATATAACTTACTTTTAGTGCCTTTGTTGCCTCGTCCTTAACTTTTTTGATGTATTGCCATCAAATGCAAAATCACCTTTTTTTAAAGTGGTACATTTTATTGATCTGTTTACTTACTGTGTGTCCATCCATCCATTATTTTTACCTGCTTCTTCCTTTTATGGATCACGGGGGTCACTTGTGTCTTTGTCCAGTAAATACAGTATGCACTTTATAAGGTTTGCAACTTATTGCATTCTTTATTTGTTTACACTGTACACAACATCCCAACTTTATCAAAACTGTGGTAGTAATCCAAATAATAAAAATGGCTCTAAATTGTTGTACAATCTGTGCCACACACGTGTCATTAAGATTTAATGATAGGAGCTTCTTTAAACAAGATGCTGATCTTTGTGCCTACAGGAGGGTCACACACATCAGCCCAGGGAGGTACGGCTATGGGCGAGCGCCTTATGTTGCTCCGTTACAGAAGGATACAGGAACGCCTCACCTCTACAGGCAGAGACGCTCGGCTGCAGCTAATCTCCACCATTCTTCTGCTGGAAGGCACAGTGTCCTTAGATCAAACCACTTGGATACCTCCAAAAACCTCCATCACTTTAGCCAACCCTACATGCACCCCAGGGCGCAAAGTCCCAAAAATAACCAAGTCTGGTCCCCCCTCTACCTGCCCATGCCAGCTAACCAGGCCGAAGTTCAGCAGGAGCTACAACCAGGCCATCAGCAGCATAAAGACAGACCTTACAGCCCACTGCCTTCTTCACTCTGCACAGGGGAGCATGCTCAGTTCAGGATCTGCAACAGTAACGTATGCAAGTCTGCACTTTCTTCCTATTCTTAGTGTACGTTGGTCACTTGAGTCGTATTTTCATAAATGAATGTCAGTTTTTACCACTGCTAGATCAGATGGACAGCAGCCTGATGAGTGAATTTATGAGAAAACCATTTTATTTTCTTAAACATTTTTTAAAGAAATTTGATAATCTGTCATATTGACTAAAGTGGGATGGTCTCATAAACTTGAGGGGTGAGTTGTATTTCTTGTCTTGTAATAGTGTGATGTCTTAAAAGCAAAAAAACGACCCAGTATAAAAAGAAATCTAAACTCTTGAGGAAAATGTATAAAAAAGCAACGTCCAATAGCAACTTTTACAGCTGAAAATTCAACCTGACAGATAGAAACACATTCTGGTACAAAGTTAAAACATCTGAGGTTGACTATAGCCATGTGAGCTGCTTGTTACGGACCACAGTACTGAGAGCAGGTCCTGAACGATGAACCTAGTTAGGTTTGTGTCGTAGTGGAAAGTAAATGCATGTTTGTGTTTATCTGACCCATCCACAGGCTTGTCCTCTGTTCAGCAAACACATCAGAGCTGTCCAGTGTTCTTCCTACGACAACCAGCCTTTCATGGGCAGACTGTACAAGTGGGAACCTTTTAATGAAGGTAGGCTGGATACTTAGATGTACATGCAGTATATACACATGTACAGTGTACAGTCCTGGAGCAAAAAGTATATATTACATTTGTACATTTTACAACACACCAAAGGAAAAAAAACAACATTTTTCCACATCAGAACATTCTGTTAGAGATTTGCTTGAGTTTGTTCATGATATCACGATATGACACATTATATTATTGTATTGTAATTTCTCACATGTTACATGAAATTATGATATGATACAATAAGTTGCATTAGGTTACATTATATGATAGTGATTTGTATCATATGATGCAATATAGTAGTCCCTCGTTTATCGCGGGGGATCTGTACCCTGAAGCCCC